GTTTTGACTGAAAATGATGAGAGGAAAGATGGCAGAACGGCCGAGTTTAGCAACAGTAGTTTGGGCCGATGAATTGCTTAGAATGCAGCAAATCATCTCTCCCTCGTTTAATTTTGGTTTTGGAATTGTTACTGCTATTTTTTAAACGCGGCTAATTTGTTTTGTAGATTTGAAATTTAGCACTGGTTTTTAGGCTGCTGCAGCAGAAGGTGGAAGAGCCGAAGATGGAGATGATCTGAGTGATGAGGACGATAATGTGAGCTATTTGGATGATGATATCTACCCTAATCTACGCCTTTGTTCGCAACCTCGACTGGTAGTAACATATTAACTTCTTCCGCATTCCTGTTCTGCATGAGTCCTTAATTAGTCCTGTCTGAACTAGTTTTGTAGCTGCTTCATTACTAAACTAAATCATTGCACTAAATATTTGTCGAGGTAGGGCCCCTTCCCCTCCTCCTCCCCCTCGCTCCGCTCCCCGTCCACTCGTTCCCCTTCATCGTATCCGCCCTCCCCCTCCGCTCTACACCAACTTGTTTAAGGCCGTGTCATTACTCCTAATCATCCCTGATCCTGGGAACTCGTTAGGATATTCGTTTTGCTGCTACAAAATCGCGTTTAGCATAGTGAGATTGAAGAAGTGGGAACAGTACTTCCGAAAGGGTGCTGGGGATTTTGACGTTGCTGTGGGATTTGCGCCAGCCGGCAGCCCTTCCATGCACAATTCTTGGCCAGGAATTGTTGCGCATAGACATTACTTCCTGGTCAAAATAGACAGAGCTACCGAATTTTAAATCTGTATTGTCTATTTGCAGTCAGATCGCAAGCATGCCTGCACTCTGCATCACGTTCATTTTCTTTCATCTACAAGAGATTTTAACCGTCCAATTGAAAACATCCAGTCGGGCGACGACCCCTTGCTTTTTCATAGTCGGCGAGTGGGAGGTAAATAAATAGCAGCGTGCACCAGAACAGACGGTGCGGTCATGGGTTTTGTGCAATTCCGTGCACGAACGGTTGCCTGTTAATGATTTTCACTGCTTTGTACTTAAGCGTGTGCAAAAATAGTTGAAAAGTTGAAAAATAGTTAAAAATTTTACGCACCGGCACAAGAAAGCTGTGTTTGAAACTTCGAAAGGTGAATATCCTTCCAAAATTTCAGTCTCCTAGTTTTTTGGCTTTCGAATGATCTTTGAAACAAAACTTTCAGGTCGTCGTACGTGAGACCTTGGTATACTTAGAAACTGAATTCGAGTTTGTGAAACCCCTGCTTAGGCAGGAAACATTTTTCTAAATTTTCAGCCTCCTAACTCTTCTAGCTCCCAAGATGATGATTTTTCTCGCCAAAACTTCCACAGAAACGGTGGAAATTTGCGAAGTTGTGCGTGGGCAGAAGTTGCCACGCTAAAATTTCGGCTTCCTAGCTTTTGCTGTTCACGGGACAATTTTCCTGCCAAAACTTTCACAAGGGCGTACGTGATACCCAGGGTGCACAAAGGCTGAATGCAAATTTACGGGAGTCGTACGTTGATGGGACACATCGCTGCGAAATATCAGGTTCCAAACTTTCATGGATCCCCAGATAGTAATTTACCCACCAAAATTTTTACGGGGCCGTAGGTGATAAACTGGGAGCGCGAGAACGCTGAATTTGAATTTACAAGGTCGTACGTGGACGGGGGGTCACTGCCGCAAAATCTGAGCTTCCTAGACTTCGTGGTTCCCGAGATAATAATTTATCCGCCGAAATTTTCACGGGGCCGTCCGTGCTACCCGCGGGCAGAAAAAGGCTAGATTTAAATTCTTTGCGTCGCATGTGTCCACAAAATTTCAGCCTTCATCTTTCGTGATTCCTGTGATAATAATTTTACTCGCCCAAAGTTCTGCGGGGCCATACATGTTACCCGCGGGTAGGGGGAGGCTGAATTTAAATTTGCGGGGTCACACGTGGGTGGGAAATGTTCCCCTAAATTTTCAGCTTCCTAGCTTTTGTAATTCGTGAGTTGAAAGTTGCGAACGAGTTGCTGCGGACACACACACACACACACGCACACACACACGAACACACACACACACACACAAACAACTCCGTGACAGTACGCGTTTTGTATTGCTGTTACACAGCACAAAACGCATGAAAAGGAGTACTGCATGTTCTAGCAGCTAATTTTAAGGCGGAAGTGTGCTTCGTTTTGCTGCAGTTACATTGAAATCCAGTTTTTTCTTCGGTTGGCCTTCGCTGAGGAGTTTGTTGATCGGTGATAGTCAGTGCTTTGTAAATATGAGAGAACAGACAGATCAAGCGATAATTTTTCACACTGTCCTTATCGCCCTTGTGTAGCAGAATGATTTAAAATCCATCGATTAATGTTCTCTCAGCCAACTAGCGGCTAAAATTTTTGTTTTCATGCATCTGCAAAGTTCATTTTTAGCAACAGCGAGAGGAAGATGGTAGCAAAGAGATGGAAAGGTTGGAAGAACGCGACCGGCAAAGAAATGACATCAGAAAATTTGCTTTTGTGTTCGAGCGTCGTTTGCAAGAACTTCCACTGAACAAAGGGCTCAAATACTACATCAAATACCTTTATAAATAAATTTCTGAAGTACTTTTTGCCATGTTGTAGCAATGTAATGAAGTTGAGACGTAAGACGAAATGTAAATTTCCGCATGTTTGATTTTTTATACATAATTCTATATTTTTCGGGATTCTTTATTAAAACCATAGAAAAATCCTACTACAATCAAGAACTTCTGCTTTTAAGGGCCTTAAATTAAATGAGAAATGCCTTATGGGTCTTTCAGAAAGGTCTTTTATAGCACTTTCTGACATACCGCTGGATAAGTACTTTTCCAGAGTAGACGTTTTACTACATTTATCGTATTAGAGGGGTTATTTTATTTTTAATTTCTCTGTTTACGTAAGAAAAATAATAAAATTTCGCATTCCTGGCCTCTGCGCACCGCATATTACTTTGTTTTAAAAATACACATTCACGGTGACTAGGAATGGTTTCATTTTTGAAATAGGTTCGCTATCTAGCAACATCGGCACGCGATGATGCGAGCTACAAGGTTGTCTTAGCCTTCATTCTGGACTTGGTGTAGGTTTCTGTCGCGTAGGAAGTTATAAAATGGTATGGGTTTTTTGTGAATGCGACAAATTCTCGTGATTTAAATTCAGACAAAAGGATGATAAATATGTCAGAGCAGCGGTGAAAAAGGAAATATAAAAGCGAAATAAGTGGTAGATGAAAGCAACCTTATACGTACCTAAAAGGGCGTAAAGTAATGGGATTTCGTATTATGAAATTTGTCTTAAAATAGTGGTTTGCAGGCTGGATTGAGAAATGGCCACAATAATTTCACAGATTTTCTGATTCTCATTTCTTACCTTCTTTTTTGATTCTGTTTATTTCATTCCTTGTTATTGTAACTCTCTGTTGAATATCAGCAGCGAGTAAGTGAGCTTCTCTTCGCGAATGACAGTTCTGATTGCGAGCAGCTTAAGCAAGGCAAGTAGCTTGATGCAGGAGAGCTAACTAAAAAGCGTGTCGGAAAGTACTGGTCTACCCATGGCCTACAGAACGATGATGTTGACTTGGACGAGTATAATTACATTTTGACCATGAAGTAGGTATGCACTACGTCTCCAACCGTAGATTCTACACTCAATCTCCAGTCGGAGATTGTAGCGCATACCACCCTCATGGCTGTAGAAGAGCTACC